AAACTGCACTTCAATTCCATGCAACGATGGAAAATATAGCAACCCCAAGAGGTTTTGTTTGGTACCTGCATATTCACAATAGGGGAGTACCGAGATTATTAGATTCCATGGGACAGCGATGAACTGAAGAACCCACATCGATTCCCGAGGATTATTGAATTTACCAGGACACAGTCTATAGTTTCGGCTGTGTAACCATGGAATGTATACCCAAGGGTCTCTTGGACATCCGCATTCAATCTTAACGTCGTAGAGAAACTATGGTTAACTCAAATTGCTCAACACAACCGAATTAAGCGATGGCTGGTTGATGCTAAACTGTAGCATCACACCATAACCACTTCCAGAATACGGTACGTGCGAAACTGCGATAAAATTGTAGAAGCCCTTTTCCTTTTTCCCTTTCCCCTATCCAAATATCACTCCTGTATATTGATATCCTAGGCCTAATATAAAATGGAGAAAGGAATCAATCGAAATATCTCGAACGACCCACCACCACTATATAAAAAATTCAAATATCGCGAGAATTCGGCAATCATTGTGGAAACCAATGCTACCTCGACATAATGATCGACTTGCTTTTTAAATAAAAAATATGTATAATCCTATTATACGAGACAGCAAATTGGAAAAACGATAGTGTACCTCTGGAATTAACTCGATTTCATGTACGTGGAAAGCGAGTAACATGGGAATTTGAACAGCTCCAAATGGGAGACATGGAAAACTCGTTGGACCCATCGCTCGTAGAATGGATTTAACGATCACTAAAAATAATTACAGTCTCGTTAAATCCTATTTTGAAGGGTTATGGTAGATATGAGTGACGCTCGACTGCCAAAAAATTCACAAGCCATCGTCATTCTTCTGACGTACACGAGGGAAAAAGTTGTGGAATCTTTTACATGGAACGCAGAAAAAATGGCATGCCGTGCCGTAATCGAGGCACAAACGCTGATGTTAAAATTGTCATGCTACGAGTGAATCTTTGTCGAGGACCCGAGAAAAAATTCAGCTGCCCCGTGATATGAAAAGCTCTGGCACATCGCGGCAAAAATTCACCAGTCGCTGCGTAAAATTTTGTAATAAAAGTGATAAATGGAAACAAGTTGAGTCCATGCGTAGAAAAGCGTTGACATTTTTTCGTCATAAAATTCAATAGTAACGGAATAGAAAGCGATTTTCAAATTCAACAAATTCGAGGGGTCTGGAATTTTTTACCGATATGAAAGAATTCCGCGGATTTCCCACTAAAAATTCACTCGCATTTTCATTCTGTCACGAGAATTTCTTCTCGTATATTATGGTATCTCACCGAAATTCCTATGCGACAAAGTAATTTCCCGGAGATATTCATCTTCAAATATTTTTCACGGACCAGGAGCACTCATTCAGTGCGCGATATTCTGTTGTTATGAATGAAGAACTGAACGAGGCAATTCCTGAAGGGAATTTTACCTGAGCAATCCCAGCGCGACTGATACAAACGAAGAAAACCAATATTCTCTGAGTGACTTACCCTTCCCGTGCAATTGTTGGCGATTGGTATCAGCTCGGAGATTCTCTGCCGTGTGTACGAGCTCATCCAGCTGTGGTTTTTTCTGTTCCAGCTCTCTGAGAACATTCTGAAAAAGAAAATAAAAAAAACCTATTCAATAACGATAATGGTTTAATTCTATGAAGGGGTTGTCTCGCGGAAAAAGGAAGACTGTGCATTAAAAATTACAAAGCGAATATTTCCCTTTGTTTCATGTAGCAAAAGATATTTTATGAATTTCTAACAGAGAAAACGGAAATATACATGTCAAGAGCCAGCATTGTAATTCAAACCTTTACCTCCCCTGCATATTCAATAGTATTCAATTGTATTAATTCAAAATATTCAACATCGTGTCAGTTTTCCATAATTTCCATCACAGTAAATCCGAGATAGAATAAATCATGCCGAAAAAAAAAGGTGTAAACGATCATTTCAATTTCCGCTGTGGCAGTTTCGCCTCATTTTACTTCACAGGTGGCAAATGGCGGGTGCAATTTTCACGCCTCGGGGAAAAAAAAAATCTCTCCACGGGTCTTTAGGCCACAAACCGCAGAGCAGAAACACCTGGCAGCTACCCCCGTGTGTATCGCAAGCTAGCCACAGTTTGCTCGATAAAATTATCCAACCCTACCCAGCGCCATTTCATTAAAGAGAGCAATGTATTGCATAATGATCGCATTATGCATCCTTGAGAGAACATACAATCTTTTTTAACGTGACGAATAATTCAACTGAGATAGTTGTTATTCAGGATGAAGTGTCTGAAAAAGAGTTCTACTGCTTCAAGGGAAAACTTTGGTATTGGAATGGCGCTGTCGTGAGTCCAAGACACTCACGTAATTAGTTTCAGAGACGACTCTACGAGGACAAATTGGTCCGACGTGACACAACGAGCCAACTTGCTCTCAATACCACGACAATCTGTCCAAAGTCCTTCCCCACAATTCCGCCCAATGTCCAACATTATCTGTCCCTCTTATTTTCCAACTGGTCCCTCTATTTGTGTCATCAACCGCACATTTCTGTAACAGCGTTGCAAAGAAAATTCGACCGACCTCAATAAAAAAATCAAAGAACTAGCCGAAAAAAGATGTGATCCACATTCGATGTCGAGTTGGTCTCCACAAATGGAATAACATCATGGTCGAGTTAAATTTTTACCATCTCCTCATTGAGGATGATAAAAGGAAGAGGAAAAGGCAAGAGTCTGGGAATCTTGGGATGATAAACGACCAAGAAAGTTGGCCGTACGGCAACAACTTTTTCAACTATGAAATATGCGCTCATAAGCGACGTGATGCGTCTTACGGGGCAATATCGTTCATTATTCGAGAAGGGCGGCTCCTCTAGGCGTTCACGTCAAGTGAAAAGAGTCACATTTAACGCAAAAGATGAGACACATGACTGAGGAGAAGGAGGATGACGAAGAGGGTGACCTGAGTCACCCTCTGGAGCGTATTGCGCTCACAAGACGCATATCTACTCCATTCCCACTAGTTCCCCCAGCCCCCCCCCCCTGGTATCGTCAATTTTTTAAATCATTTGCACACCCGCGACTCCATTTCCATTGATACCAAAAATTACAGCACTACACTTTCGAGCGAAAGGAGTGAGGGAAATCGGAGAGCAAACAACGCGGCAGATACTTCAGTAGTCCAACAGAACTGAATCAAGATCACTTTGACTGTCCGGTGGATTTTGCCTGTGCAATATCCCCTGGTGACAATTCCTTCCCACAAGTGCTCCAAGAAACATCAAAGAGCTAGGCGTTTGCCATTTTTTTTGCTCTGGCACTCTCTGCTTTGTGGACTTACACTAAACCGAAGCTGCAATGTGCCGGTATAAAGGGGCGTTGCCGAAGCGCCAGGTTGAGCTCCATTTGGATCCATTATTATGAAATACTGTAGGCTCAACACTTAAAATCCAATGTGAAAAATTTTGGCATCAACACTGACAAGAAACAAGCACTCCCGGCTGTGTTATCCTACGGAAATATCCAAAGCGGATTTAAAGAATTCATGGGCCCATCGGCGTAATACAATGACACTTGAAATGGTGTTGAAATTCACATGACTCTGATGTAAGCATTATCAAAAGTACAGGTGAGCCTGGATAATTTAGTAGATGCACCAGTTGGTGCATGTTCAGACTTGACATATATCTGGTAAAGCCGCGTTCTGAAGTTAACCCGCTTTAGTGAAAATGCCGGATCAAAGTGCGTACATTACGGATGAAATCCGTCAGAATACTGACCGGCAGGAGAATCGCTGGTGGCATTCAAGGGCTGTGAACGCAGAGGGTGCCAGCCCCGAAACATCTCTCCACGCGCTGTATATCCCATGGGAATTCAAGCTCGACGTTGCCGGAAAATTCGCATGGCGGGAGAAGGCCATGTTCAGTGGAAGTTAGGAACGCCTGTCGGGTTCAATCGGATATACAAAGTTTGAGTAATTTTCTGTCGCCAGAAGACTTCCCTTTGCTCGAGGTACTCAGAAATTGTTGGTTTGGCAATTGCCTTGACGAATTGTTGAGGTAGACACACGGGAGGAATGAGTACTTTATAACTCTGTGCTTCATAAACTCGATGTATGTTCACATCTTTCGCTACTTTCGCATCTAATTCGATGATGGGGGAAATTCCCACTGTACACGGCGAATCTTCGGTGCGCAAACGCAGTTGTCAGGATCGTTTTCATTGACGAAATCAGAGACAGTGTTCATGATTGCCGGACAAAAAAGGGGAGTTGATGATTTGAGATAGGTCATGATTCCACTGATGGCATTGACTTTTCCACCTTCCAGTCTGAGTGAAATTTATATTAAAGTTCATTGAACAACATTATTATAGTAAACTCAGCTGGAACTCTGGCAGTTGTTTCAACAATTTCAATTATTGTTTTTCCTCGGAGTACTCAGAGTATTTCCGCTCACTGATAAATTTACGTATGGCGAATGAAGACTCAATTCACTAGTTTGTGGCAAGTTCATGCACAGCAGACGTTTGAAGGGAGCAATCACGGTTTGTTTACGCAGGAATATCTGCAGATATCTCTGTACACATTGATATTGCCCTTCGACCAATGGAACATGACGTGCGAGTCTAGTATTTACCCCGGGGGCTCTACAAGACCAACGCCGATGATACTGTATACAGTCTGTAACAATTAACATCTGCCTGTACATAACTCGAGCAGAATTACGTCGGTATAGTACGATGATTCGCTTGCGTGCCACTGAAGCGTTCATACAAGCCTCATATTACAGCTGGCTGGCAAAGAAAATTTGAATATCACCCGGTGGCACTAAGTAACACCCCTACAGAAATTTATTGAAGGCAAAATCCTATTTTTCCATTTACATACTAGGTCCATTTGTCAGCTAGAAATTTCAAACACCATCATTTTCCAACAATGCACCATCGAACTTGATAAACACGATGTAAGTGTCATTATTGAGTACTTTTTTTATTTTGACCGAGCTCGAGAGGTATTTTGCATATTGCCGCGATATTTCATGAAAATGGCCAATTTTATGCTCACGCCCTATGTAATGCGATAAAATTCACCGTCGACCCATGAATCGTACGTGTTTATATTACCACATGGTTGAATATCTCCGTGAGATATAGAATTTTTAATTCCCTCCCAAAGACATTTTACTGACTGAAACGTCATCCCAAATGAAATTCTAGAAAATTCTAGAAATTCTAAATGGAGAAAGAGTATTTTCGCATTGAGGGTCATATTTATACATAAGTTGAGAAAAATCTCTCTTTTCCTCAGCGACGAATTGGATCTTTCATTATTGATGATTCGAACCTCTCCCCAAGAATCTATTCCGTAGCCTCAAGTATTACTGTGGTACAACTTTTCTGAGGAACGCTATCGATCCGAAAAGTACTCCAGATATTTTCCACTTTTGGCTCTCGAGATACAGCTGACATGGATTTGCATACCAGTAGTTTACTTTGTATACAGTGATCCATCGTGAAAAATATCCAAAAACTCGAAAAACTCGGCGGCGCAAGGGGGGGAGAGAGAGAGAGAAAGGAAAGGATAAAGTATTCTTCTGGTTAGTAGTCGGCGGATGTCGGCATCGAGGAATTGCACACGAATGCGTCGCGAGTTTCCGTGGGGCTCTTCTCGCTCTTTCTCTCTGTCTTTTCCCTCAATTGGAAATCGATATCCACAACAGCATCCCGCCACCTCGGAATTATTTTTGTATCTTTTTCTCTATCATTTTTTATTTCTTTGTGCGTCTGTAATCGCTTCGTTGACACAGTACCATCGATAATGACATCGTGTGATACGTGACACAAAAAAATATTGTCAATCCCTTTGAGTGCAATCACGAAAGCATAAAATGTTACATCAGAGATGTCTGAGCGACATCAATTGATTGAAGAATCAATGGGATGTGATTTCAGTTATCACAGAGTTCGAATTGAAGAGTAGGAAATGAGAAATGAAATATCACGAGGAAGTGAACTCGTTTGAGGTGTAATTCCGTGGTTCGTTGACGTCCATCGGGATGGGGTAAGAAAAGTTTGAATGAGTGCAGCGTCGTGGTTGATAAAAAATAGTGGCAAAGCCTGAGAAAATCGCCGAGGGATATATTCGAGAAACAAGTGTTAACACACACGTGAAATACTTGTGGCGCGGAGGAAGGCGTGGCAGCGGTCGTTGACCATTTAATGCCAATGTCAATGTCAGAGTCCTCCTGACCATCGACCCAAGCTCCTTTATCTAACTGAAACTACCCCAGTGGCGCTGGCTATCAACGTCTACTGTTGGAAATAGGGTTGTTCTACCCCTGGAGCGTCGAGACGTTATCGATGTGCTTTAGGGGTAGTGGGCTTGGCTGTCGGCTGTACCGACGTTCCATGTACCGACATCGACCAATACCCCGGGCTAGCAATTTTATCGGTAACGGAATTGGGTTAGTGGAGGATATGTCTTTGATCTTACTTTTTGCTTGTCGATGAGCTGAAGAATTTCGTCGACATCGCCGACGGACACTGACTGCTGGCGCAGCATCTCCTCCTCGAGGGTCAACCAGTCGCGGATCTGCATAAAACAGCAAACATAATTATGAATATAATTTCATGGCAAAGTTACTTTGATAGAGGGACCAGGTAATTAAGAGATTAATTAAGGGTGTTGTCAAAGTTGAGGTCAACGAGGGAAGGAGGGCTGTTGAATATTTAGAGTTTGATGGTACAGTGAAGTCGATAAATCGCAACAGATAAGTTTGGCGTAGTCCCAGGAAATGAAGTCTCGATCGTCCAAGCAGACATTTACCCGTGTCTGGGTGAGAGCACTCCCTCATCCTTTCGCACCCCTTTTACATCCGTCCCTACACTATCTTCAATACCAAATACTACCCCCCAAAAGACCTCTACAAAGCCCCTTGTTCCTGTTGCACATTGTAATACCGTCTTGATTAAGATGGTATTAGTAGGGAGTGATCGTGACTCGCTAAATCCCACCATAAACATCAATCCCCAAACATCCGGAGGCCAAAATTACATACGGTAAAATGATAGCATGGATTCGCTTACTGGGGAGTTATGTTTCTTGAGAGCAAAATCGATTCAAACTTCTTTTCTTCAGCCGTTTCACGGGCATACAGACAAAATGCTGGCATTTCTATCACAATTCCCACGTGAATTGCACTCTGGAGAACTCACCTCGACAAATGCTTTGTACTTTATGGTTCTACTACTTTTTGTGTGGCTTTTTTTTTCCTTTTTCAGGTTCTATTTCACATGCATCACACGGTAAATCCTCAATACCGGCGTGTTTTTGTTTTTCAATTCTGAGAAATACTTGGCCAAAAAAAAAACACGTTGACAAAATAAAATGATTGATTTGTTATCGTACGCATTCTTGACGATTCCATCACCCCTTCATGCGCGATATATTCTCTCGGTTTCATTATTTGTCAGACTGAATTGTATAGCAATTCTATCGTAATTCGATTGAGTATTCTCCGATTGCTTCCTATTGAATTTCATAATAAAATCGTCGGAGTATTCTCTGTCAGTGCTTCCACTTCTGACTCGATAAATTTTATAAGGAAACGAAATAAAAGTTTGAAGGAGAAAGTTGAATTGAAAAGGGAAGGAGAAAAAGTCGGATAATAGGGCACAAGGCGGGGTCAGATTAAGAAGTGTAATTTGATTGAACCAACAACGATTTAAAAAATTGATGAATACCTGAAGAACTGATTTATCGAGGCCAGCGACAAGGGTTGAGGCTGATGTCGACACTGATGTCTCGTGGCTAGTGTTGGCCTGTGGGATCGAGGCTGCCGAGACGACGGGAGTGACTACTTGTTCCCGCAACTCCGTCGGGCTCGCTCCAACATTCCTCTCCGTCTCTGCAACAAAACAATTGAAAAACTTTCGTCAAAATTACGTTACCAACATTTTATCCCTCACAAAAGAGCACAAAAGTGTTCCCGAGGTTTTCCCAAACTTTCAAATATCACCACCACTTTTTTTCCATAGTTACATTTCCACTCCTCAAGTGGTCTAAAAGGGTCTCGGACATTGTCTTGAACGACGATGCCATGACAGATTAAAAAATTTATTCCAACTTCATCCCATATACAGGCTCACCGCTTTTAATTCTCATCTCTTCCCTCGAGAGGACTAAAAAAATTCAGACCGGTCGGTTTCCCGTTTAACAAGTAAATTCTTATATTTTCGTTTGCACCACTGATTTTTTTTTTCATCTCCATTTTCCACTCTAATTTTTATCCCCAGCTGGATGCATTCGTCAACGCAAACAAAACCCGTTGAGAGACATAACGAGCCAGAATTCGCTGACTGGGGCAACCAAGTGTGTGCTAGTTTTTCATAATAAAAACAGACTGAGTCAGCAAATGCGTGAAATCTTCATATTTATAATATTTTCTGGACTACAGCTCTGGGAGAGCTATGACGAAACTGTGACACAAAGGGTCTCTCAAATTAAGGAACAACTTGTGAAGAAAGGAAGAAGAATACTTTGTCTTTATCCCGGGGGAAAGTTTGCAATTATCGAAGCAACAGCTGTCGTCCGAGGGGAGAAACACGTTGGACCAGCTGGCTCCCTCTCCCTCGGGTACAACATCCAACTATGACAATTTCAAAATATTCGACAATTACGCAACTTTATATTGCTTTCTGCAGTGATTAGTTAATTTTCGCGAACTCAACACTGAGTACATATCGAGTCATTAGACAAATTCGTTGTTGAATTATTCATGGAGCCGGGGATGATGAATTTCCTGATGTGCAACTTGCGGAGTTCCAAATTTTCCGTGGAAATTTACGTGCTAATGTTATCATGGTGGAATATATACTCAAAATGTGAATACATTAGTTTGGGGTGTAATATCGCGACAGAGGGCTGTGGCGGAGTCGACTGGATCCTGGAGAAATATCTGGGTGAAGGCACGTAGGTCTTGGGGGTGATGGGGAAGCATAGAAATATCTCGGAATGTTTGGGGTGAGACGAGAATTCGGGGAGTGAGATATGTCCTGGATCAGCTGATCGTGCCCTGCGCACAATGATCATTTTAATTTTCAGCAGTGAATCCAGGAAATAATAATTATTCTGGAAAAATTTTTTTCTCTGCGATTACCTCCAAAGAATAAATGAAAAAGTGAAAAAATGAAAAAGTAAAATCTCGTTGAGATAATTTTCGCCTCCTCTAGGCTGTAGGTTACGTGAAACTCTGTGTCTACAAGTTCTCTAAATACATAAAGTAAGACAAAGTGGAAAATAACGAGGGAGTAAAAAATGTTAGAAATGAAGTTGGAAGCAGAGGATGTGGTGTGAGGACGGGTGAAGAAGGGGGATAGAAGGAGGACCCAGGGTCCATGGTCCGCTGGGGGGATAAGTGATGTGACAGATAAAACGAATGCGAAAGGTCGAGAATCTACGTTGGACTGCGAGGGAAAAACTGAAGAATGCTGAGGCACGAGAATGATAGATTGTGCCTCAACATCCACTGACACGAGGGGCAGAAAATAATGATAGACCCTGGCAAATCGTCTCCGGGAGATTTTCCGCCTCAGATTTTCCATGAATTTTCCTCCAGGAGTATCGAAATAATATCCCAGGAGTTGAATACCTCTCCTCCGACTTTTATCTTTTTTTTCAGAGTATCTGGGTTATTCACTTGGGTTTCCTTACTCCGCATCTTGCGAATTATTTTCTAGAGCGAAGTGGACGGGGATTTAAATGGAACATGGAAGTCAATCCCTTTTGAAGTGAAGACAGGCAAGCGGAGAGTAACTTGAAAGAGTTGAAAGCAGTAAGAAATAATTAAAACGGCAATAATTGAAAAATGCAGGAATCAAGTTGTTAGTGAGAGCTCCTCGCAAAATCATCATTGTGTTTTTTATCATCTCTTGACTGTTTGCTTTATTTTTTTTTAACAGACAAAACGAATCGATGTTGATTTGTGCATGTACTCTCTATATTTCTATATCTTAGATGCGGTGTAAGACGGTTCAGTGACTTTAACAACAGCAGTTCGGAAAATTTACGAGCGGTTGAGAAGCGGTTTAATAAGAGTCTAAGTAATTCAGGCGGAGTTAGTGGCGTGTTAAAACCCCACTGCTTACCCCCATATCCACCCCTAGCGCGAAGGTCTCCAAATTTTCGGGAAAATATATATTCCTAAGAGGATACGTCACATTATAGAATTTATTTATTTATTAATTATTTTTTCCATTCACCAAAGTTCGCGATTCTTGAATTCACCATTTAATTTATCTCAAGAGGAAATAAATGTAGAAAAGTAATTTCCTCCAATACTTTTATTCCACATGAATAGGATCGGTTCCGCGAAGAATAAGAGGTCATGTTTATCAGCTCTGTGACGGTGGCTTTGACTCGAATGATTTGTGGTAGCCCGTAGATAAAAGATGAATGATTCGAAAGGATGTGAAAGAAATAGAACCGATGAAAAAACCGACCAAGTATAGACGATGTAAAAATGACATTGACAACCGAACGTGAGTGTCATGCAAGAGCAATTCACAAAATCCAGAAACCCATTTAAATATTATCCAACAAGTAAAAGTTGAGAGAATAATCCAAACGATAATGTTCAGTGTGGACGTCGAAGAACTCTCGCCAATGTCGCGTGACTTTTAAACTCCTAGTAAGAGAGATCGTTAAAACTAAAGCCAAAAATTTCAGCTGAATAAGCTCGCTCTATCCGAGGCCGCATTATATTTTTCTTTTTTTTCCTGTGCCATCGGAAATTTTCATAGCGGAAAAATGCATTGAGATCCCAACGAGGCAGAGCAAACTTCGTTTTCATAAAGGACACGGCAATTATTAATGGAGTGATTATATCTGGGATTTAATTAGTTACGCGGGAGATATATGATTACCAGCGGACGAGGAGAGCTTCATCCTTTGGGTGAAACTCATCAAACCATGGGGATCGATAGAATCTAATCCATGGAGAATTATTGTATTGAAATTGATGGGTGTGAAATTGGATATGAGGCGCTGAGAACAGCCAACATGAACGGGAAAAGTGAATTTTTCACTCATTTCTCTGAGTTAATGGGATTTAAAAAAATATTTTAATTCCATTGCTGGAAACTGAAATTAGTAGATTGCCCGAAGACATTCTCCCAGTAACAGGATTATACGATAGAGCTAATAATAATAATAAGACACATCCCCTCATCACCTTCAAATAATAACATTCAAGCAGTGGAAATGTCTGCAACACCATTCTGAAACCAAAATAGACATTCCCCTGGAAATACGTTTCTCGTATGACGTCACATGCATAATTCAACGGTAGTACGTAGTGGCTGGCGATGGCTGTCTCACTAATGCGGAGTACACCCAGGTAAATGTACATTTCACCTTCCAGTACAGCCCTACCCATTCATTTTCTCCCGTAATTCCTTCCATTCACGTGTTAAAAATACCACCGATGAAATTACGTATTTTACGTGCACTCAGGATAAAAATTGAATTTTCCCCTTTTCATCGGGCAATTTGTCCCCCAAGAATTATTAAGTATCGCAGATTAATTTAGTGGATATAATTAAATCGATTGTGCTATGAAAAACACCTGTAATAGGTTCATGAAAAAGGCAGGGACACTGGAGACATTCTATTAGCCTCAAAACGAGCATCACCGATGAGAGGAGAAATAAAAGGAGATCGAGGCATCCAATTTTCTCGTCTCACTGTAATGATCTCCAATAAGATCGTAAACGCCGGTTTCCAGCAGTGGCACCTTGTCTGTACCATTGGAACAATGGCCCCAGACTTCGTTATAAAAGCTAGGGTAAAACGACCCCTCCGCCCTATCCCTTTTCCATAAATGATTGGATCAAAGGGTAATACGATTTCTACGGTGTTGGTGGCTCAGGTGAAAAGATAAACCCGGATAAAGTGATATCTGATACTAAAAAATAATTATCGGGAGGAGACCGCAAGGATCAAACAGTTGAGGAAAGTCATCACGCTTTAGGTGCCTGGGGAAATTTCCTAATTTGTCAGATTTACCCAGATTTTTCAGATAAATACTAGAACGACTGATGATCACATTTTTCAAATAAATTTTTGACACAGCAGGAGGTGTAGGACAATAGTGACAAAAAAAATAGGTTTCATTTTTTAATTTCTAAGTGGATTTTTCTCGATTGACTATAAATGAAATTTTGAATTAAAAAAAAAAAGTTATGAGGCAATTATCCATTGACATTAAGCCCCTAACAGCCCGACTAGTGACCCCGTTTTTCTACTCTGACGTAAACCCCCAGTTCTAGCTCGTTTTATCTCATATACAATACCACCTGAGTAAAACAATAAACCGTGCATCCAGAGTTTCTCATTCATTGAGAAACAATATGATGACGCAAATAAAACCATTTCGCGAGAATCACCGAGCTTTTGTAACTTCTCGCTTTGTTCTCCGCCCAATACAATTTTACTGAAATAGAGGCGGGGGGAATGACGGGATACGGCTCGTCGACGAGATAACAATCGAGTGAATTGACTATCTTCAGGGTGACAAAGATTCTATGTCTCCGACAGGAGAAAAGCCCTTGTGTCTTGTCTTATCAATCTCGACTGTCTGTAATTGATCGTTTGGAAATGCTACTCCTTTTTATAGATGATTTGTGCGGAACACAATTAATCTAAACGAATTCCAAATTCAAATTTTTAATATAAATTTGCTCTATCAGATTATTCACCGTGAATTTTAAAATCCCCGTATTTTTCCCCTCAAACTGAAATTCGAATCGAACAGCGTGGAAATGGGAAAATGAAGTTGGACGTTGAAAACGTTTGTACGATCGAATTACCGTAGAAAGTTCTCGACTGTGAATGGATTTTCCATGAAAG